GTCCGTGCCCTCATGGGATGAGCCAATTCTAAAGAATCATGTCCCTCTTTCTCAGAAGTGCATGCTCTTTGCTTAGACCCTTGTCTACACTGAAAGTGGAGGAGTTACTACCGTGGAAATGAGAGGCTGCCATCAGAAACCTTGTCCACCAGTCTCTTTTTAGCTTCTTTAGATCAGCTACTTTGGCCTCAAGGGAATAAATTTATGCCTAAAGCAAGGCTTTAATAGGACCAGGCACTTATCCACCACTTTTGCCATACAGGCAGGTAGCTGGATGCTGGATATCTTTTATGACCTTGCTAGCCTTTAGTTTTCATACCTTTTTTTTCTTTGCCACAAATAGGAGAGAAGCATCTGCTGCACTTACAGACCAAAATCTTGTTGCTTGGCATAGTAAATTACACTAGATCAACAGGGCCTTGATGGATCAACTCCTTTGTAAGTTCTGTTGATTTAAATGGGCCTGCTCTAACTAAGACTTTAGCATAGAAAGTTGCAGTTAGAATAAGCCCATTAAATCAGTAGAATTTACAGAGGAGTTGGCTTGCAAAATCCTCAGTAAATCATTGGGCCTACTCTGGTGCAATTTATTACACTAAACAACAGGAGTTGGGCCATATGTTGGGAAAAATGCCCAGTGCATCTGCCTGTTTGCTTTCTAATGATCTTGACAGTATGGTTTGTCCTCATGGTGTACAGATGGATCTCACAGTTTTGTCCTACTCTTATAGATCTCACTAGCTTCTTTCTTGTTGCAGCCAATTATATTTGGAGAGCTTTCTTTCAGAGTATACACGTGTAGGTCAAAAAGAGAGATAACCATCATATTCCAGTGAGTGAAAATCTAAATCCTTTGAGCCTCAGTGGAACACAGATCATTACAAGGGAGAAGAAAATGGGTAGACATTTAAGAAGATAACTTTGTTAAAATCTCTCTGGGAATGCAGAGTTCTGCCTTACAATATATCTGGTTTAATTTGCACTTTTCTAGAAATATACTTAGGTTTTAAAAACTAAGCTATTAAATTGAATGGAGGTATTTATATAAGCTTTAGGTTGATGAGATGCACTTTAAAAGACTTCAGTTATTGCCCCACACTTAGTTTTAATTTTTATTTATTGCCATTGCTTTTTGCTACCAAGCTTGCTTTGTGCACCTTGTCAATATAAAGATATGTAGTAGGTTTTTATATCCTTCCAGAATTTGGGTTCAGTCTAGGTATCTAAGTCTGAGCATTGCTGCAGCTGCATTGGACTTTGTTGTTAGAACTGTGAAGTTCCTATAGGATGGCCCTTGGGGGATTTGCTGTTCCGTTGTCTCAACTTGAGCTACCGGTAATTGTTACATAATTTTAAATGGATTAAATAAGTGGGTAGCACTTAGCTTCTCCCACAGGTCCTTTACTTTTTATAATCTTGACAGTTTGTCAGTTGGCACAAGATGCTTCATCAGCTGGAACTCCCCACTGTGCTCTTGAGCTATTGTGGCCCTTGCTCTACAGATAATACAGTTGCACACCAGACTGCTATATTCCACGTTATGTATATATACCACTGTGGTGAGCACTAATTTCTAGCTTCAAATGTGATTCCCCTCCCCCACAAGGATTAGGAATTCTTGCATATCTATTTTGTTAAATTCCAAGTTGTGGCAGTGCTGCTTTCCAGAGATGGAGGCAGTTCCACTTGACAAAGAGAGAACATTTTTAGATGAAGTGTTGATATTTTAATCGTAAGCACTCCCCCTGCCATGCCCATACTACTTCACCACTTGGTTGCTATGTAAGCAGAGGGACATTTTGTGCACACAGCCAAATATAATCAGCAGCCACTTGTACTGTACGTCTCTTCAGTAAGAAGAAAAATTGCCAAAAGGGAAATGTGTTCTCATTTCGCTACAGTTGAATTACTAACCCTGCCCTTGCATAACAGTTTGATTTTTTTTAAAAATAATCTGCACAGCTGTATAACCAAGAGTATTAAATGTACGTGGTTGTACTGTATGAACAGGGAAATATAAGATGGCTGACAGTATTGCTGGCCATGTTATTCCCTAATGTGCCTCACAGGCAATTCAGTGAGGCATACCCTTTCTAGAAGATAATGGTTGTAATGCAGTTTCAGATCATGTTTCTTCCTGACTATAGGATACTCCCTCCTAAGCATATGGACACATGCATAAATCTGCTAACCAAATGCTTGATTTAGTACATGTCTCTGGTAAAAGATCAGCAGCTGTTTTCTGTGGCACTAAGATGTCTTTTGGCATGCTTGGCAGATGTTGCTCTTCATTTCCACTGTGCTGTCATACTATCTTAATTCAGGGAATGCTGAGAGACATGTAAAAATAGTAAATTCAAAATATTTGTGTTCAACCTCTGGTTAACCCAGTTGCCAAAATCCTGTTGTGTAGTTTACACTCGTGGAAATGTGATGATGTCACCAACAAGGAGAGATTTTTTTAGTAATTAAAGGGTTCCTACATATGTCACATGGCTTGTCTGGATTGTGTGTAATCAGTTTTCATTGTTTGGAAGCCATGGGAACAGTGGGATAGAAGGAAAAAGTTTTTAATTACAAAAAAAATCTCATTGTGCCAGTAATGTCATCTGACGGGATATTTTTGGTAGCTAAAGACTTCCTCCTTGGGACTCCCACAGCTCACACACAATGAAACTACAGTAACTATATATGAGTCAAACAAGCTGTAAGACAAAAGAAGAAAGCCCTTAATTACTGAGAATCTCCCTTTGCGAATGTTGTCATTGCCCTCTGGTGCAGCAGATGGAACACAACTGACAGAACAGGATTTTGTCCAGAGTACTTTTTGAAATTCATGTTGTTGGGTTTGAAATAATGTGGCAGCTCATAATGTTTAGGAAACATGGTACTAGAATGAATTATTAAAGCTTGACTTTGGATAATGGAAATTTCTGCATAGATAACCAGTTCAAGGATTAATTTTTCAGGCTGTATTCGTATGAAGGCCAAACATTATATACAAAGCTGTTATAGCTACAACCTTGATCTGAAATTTGTGGTGGATGTGATAACAATATTACTCTTTTTTTGGAGGGGGGCATCTGTTGCCACTGTTTGGGATACCCATTGTTTCAAAGTTGAGGTGAACAAGCATTCCAAGCCATTAGTTTGTAAACTAATAAATCTGTCTTGCACTGATCGTCTCTGTTGATATGAGTTAAGATTCTGTATATTGTCAAACTAGAAGGATCAGCTCAGTTTTGTAATGTTCATGTAGACTAGTCAGTGTATCTCAAATAGGATCACCAGGAAGTAGCTACTATTTTCAAAGGCTTTACATTGTACATGAATCTTAGTAAAGAGTTTAACAGTGAAGATAGGGTTCAGAAGTGCCAGGGCAAAGAGATACAAGACTTATCTACAACTCAGTCCAACTAATATTGGGTCAGGATGATGATGATCATTTTCTCTTTCATTCAGAGAACCTGAGATGATATAGGATAATAAATGTCTGTTTATTTTTGTGCATCCTTAACATCATGAGGTCCTTCCATGAGGAAATGAAGAGCACTGTAGTTTCCAAAGTGGAATGAAGCAGGGATGTGTCCTTGCGCTGACCCTGTTTGGGATCTTTTTTGCTGTCATGCTGAAGCACACCTTTGGAACTGCAACAGAAGGTGCCTATCTCCGGACTAGATCAGATGGAAAGCTCTTTAATCTCTCTAGATTGAGAGCGAAGACCAAAATCCTGCTGAAATGCATGTAAGACTTCCTCTTCACTGATGACACAGCTGTTGTTGCCCATTCTGCTGAAGACCTCTAACAACTCTGGAATTGTTTTAGCAAGGCCTGCCAAGACTTTGGATTAACAATCAGCCTGAAGAAAACACAAGTCGTGGGCCATGGATAAATGCAATGGCAAAGCAGCTGCCATGTTATCTAGACTCACAAAGAGAGTATGGCTTAATAAGAAGCTGATGGTATATACCAAGATCTAGGTCTATAGAGCCTGTGTCATGAGTACACTTCTGTACTGCAGAGGCCTGGACCCTTTGTGCACGGCAGAAAAGGAAGCTGAACACATTCCATATGTGTTGTCTCCAACGCATTTTCAGTATCACCTGGCAGGACAAAGTTCCAAATAGAGTAGTCCTAGAATGAGCTGGAATGTTTAGCGTGTATACATTACTGAAATAGCAACATTTACGTTGGCTCGGGCATGTTGTGAGAATGGCTGATGGTCGGATTCCAAAAGATCTCCTGTATGGAGAATTAGCACAGGGCAATCGCCCCAGAGGGAGACCACAGCTGTGGTAAAAGGATATCTGCAAGCGGGATCTGAATGCCTTAGGAATGGACCTCAGCAGATGGGAAACGTTGGCATCTGAGCGTTCAGCCTGAAAGCAGGTGGTCTCGCTCCCATTTTGAAGAGACAGTTGTTCAGCAGGCCGAAGCAAAGAGGCAGTCCCAAAACCAGCAAAATCAGGGATCTGGACAGGGGACAAATTGAATTTGACTTCAGTGTGGAAGGGATTGTCACTCTCAAATGAGCCTCCTCAGCCACACTTGACACTGTTCCAAGACCTCTATTCAGAGTACATTACCATAGTCTCTCAAGAATGAAGGATGCCTAATCTAAAAATATGTGCAAGCCTTATTTTATTTTTTTTTAGAGATAAATACCTTCTTCAAGGGCCTAGTTGATAACAGTCAAACCGGCTCTTTGCTACTGCATCTTGGACACAGGTAATCTCTAAAGAAAAGAAGCTTATCCGTGAAACATCAGGTTTACTCAGAAATTAAAAGGCTGTTTGCAATCTTGTGTTCCTTTTTCTCTAAGCTACTTTTCCTGTATTGTTTTGAACGATGGCAACGCTTCCCACCTTTTGTCTATGACCAAAGGTGTACATAGGATTTCCATGCAATTTGCTGGTGAATTACCAATCCATAGATGTGCAGTATTACTGTTGCAGTTTTGAATGTTCATGGTTTTTATTTTGCCTTTTATTGCTCATTAGGTGATAAAGCCCTTGATGGCTACAGTAAGAAAAAGTATGTCTGCAAGCTGCTTTTCATTTTCCTCCTGGGACATGATATCGATTTTGGCCACATGGAGGCTGTGAATCTACTGAGTTCGAACAAATATACAGAGAAGCAAATTGTAAGTAATGTCTTATCCCTATATTGTGATGATAGAGTACCATCAGATACCATAGTGATGATATATATCTCTTATAGGTAAACAATAGGAGATGAATTAAGTAATTTAGTGTTTGTGTTTGTGTTTTTTAATTGTCCTTTAGATAACTGACAGATGTAGTGCTTCCAAGGACAGCACTGGTTTTTAGTTGTGGGAACAATACACTATGGGGTTGCCATCATATTTGATGTTTCTCACATTAGAGGTGCCATTAATATAACTTTGATTATGCTCTCTTTAACGGTGCAGTGATAAAGGAAATAGTGTTAGAGAAAGTCTTCCAGTTTTGGTTCGAGGCAAAGGGCTGGGTAAAATAAGATGCCACACTGTAGTTTGGGATGAAAAGTGAGTCCCAGACTGGTGAAGAGTTTAAATCCACTTCTCTAGAGAGCTGCATATATTGGGCTTTGCCCACATTTTCTATTTGTTTGCTCAAAAAGAGAAACCTATTAATTTTTTATTATCATTTTATTAAGTATTTGGTCCAAACTATTTCTTATTTTAGAGCAGTTGATAAGATATTTGCAGATACTATCATGGCAGATGGCCGTAAATTTGCTAAAAGACAAATCAGTATTGAAGCCAGTGTCCCTTTGAATCAGTGGTTGCCAACCTTTGGTTCCCAGATGTTCTTGGACTGCAGTTCCTAGAAGCCATTGCTAGCACAACTAGTGGTGAATGCTTCTGGGAGTTGTAGTCAGGGAACATCTGGAGATCTAAGGTTGGGAACCACTGCTTTGGATGATCTAAAATGAAGGGGTGAATTTCTGTTATTCCTCTTGTGTCAGGTTGGCAAAGATTGGCCCTCCAGATGTTGGACTGCAACTTTCACCAGCCTCAGCCTGCATAGCTAGTGGTGAGGAATAATGGGAATTGTGGCCCAACAACCTCTGGAGGGGTGCATTTTACCCGCTTTTTTCTTGCAGAAAAGCTACAAGTCATTAATCAGATTTCCTTTGTTAGATCTGTGTGCTAAAATTTACCTCTCATTAAAAAAACAGCTGCCTTATGTTTTTTGTTTCAGTTTGCTGAAAATTGTAAGTACTCAAGAATTTTTTAAAAATAATTTTAAGAAATGGTATAGAAGACCTGGAAGGCAGCAGGAGAAGAGGAAGTTATGACATGAGATGGATTGTCTCCATAAAGGGCACCATGGCCTTTAGTTTGTGAGACCAGAGTAGGGCTGTTAATGACAGTGACAGGAACTTTTAGAGTTCATTAGTTCACAGGGCATGGTAGGCTATAATTGCTGGTAAGTGGACTGAGCAGTTCCTTCCAATTGTTGCTGTTTAACTGACAGTGAACAAAGTCCACAACACAGAGAGGCCGACTGTACTGCTAAATTACCAAATTTAATTTGTTCTATACATAAAATAAAAGTGGGAGAGGAAGCAGGTGGTTTGAAATTGGACAGTCTTAAAAGATATTTTAACTATGGACTAGGTTTATTATAGCATTTTCCCCCAATATTCCTTAGTATGAATCTAATGAGCTAATCAAAGTATCAAGCATTGTGAATGAGTTTGGATGGAACTGTTAAAGCTGAAATCCAAACAGCTTCATGCCTGGTTGTGTTGTGTGCTAATGCACAAAGAGTCTTTCCCACCCCACCCCAGTACACCCATAGATGTTTCTGTCCCCAGAAATGTTGGGTGGTCCATTCCAAAGAGGGAAGTGGGATTGGGGAACAATAAATGCAGCATGGGAAGGAAATGGCAATTCCACTGCATGGAAAAGTGCATTCTGTTCACATATGCAACTGTCCGGACGCTAATCAGTGTGACTTTCAAAAACTGTATATAAACGTGTCTAAATACTACCTCAGCAGTATTACCATCTGTCTAATTCTTTTGAATTTAGTTTCATTTGTAACAAAGGGGAAAACTGACAGCTTTGCAATCTATATTGCTTTGGATCAGGATCTCATTATGAACCTTGAGATGGCTGAATGAGCCATATCATAGTACAGGAGACTTAAAAAAACATGAATACTGCATATAAAACATTGCTCTGCCAACCAACAACTGATTTTTCTCTTAATTTCAGGGCTATTTGTTCATCTCTGTACTTGTGAATTCAAATAGTGAGTTGATACGGCTGATAAACAATGCAATTAAGAATGACTTGGCCAGCCGCAATCCCACTTTCATGGGGCTAGCTTTGCATTGTATTGCCAACGTGGGTAGCAGAGAGATGGCGGAAGCATTTGCTGGAGAAATTCCAAAAATTCTTGTAGCTGGGTAGGTAATTTATGTTGATTTCAGATGCCAATAATAGACCAGTTAAGTTAATTATTTAGATGAAGCCAGGTATCTTACATGACTGAATAAGCTATCTCATCATCAGTGGTGCCTCTGTTAGGTTATGCTTTCCCAGTGGAGTCTACTGTTCAGTGGTGGAGTGATGAATCAGTGTGAAGATTCATTTGCTCCTGAAACCTTTTCTCTACTTGACTTCAATGGACAGTATTCTAGACCAGTGGTTCTTAACCTTTGTTGCTCCGATGTTTTTGAACTGCAACTCCCAGAAACCCCAACCAGCACAGTTGGTGGTGAAGGCTTCTGGGAGTTGCAGTCCAAAACTCCTGAGTAACCCAAGGTTAAGAACCAGTGTTCTAGACTGCTTCATTGGGCCTTTGTTTAATTTATTGTGAATTGTCCCCCTGCTTTCAGTATCTTGGGGTTTAAACAGTTTTCCAATTGCTTCACTTTTATTCCCTGAGAATATTAATAATGGGGGCAGTATTGGATTTCATCTTGGCAGCAGCGATATCCATGGACATCAGCCTTTCCCCCAATTGAAAGTGCTTGCTTAAATAGACAGTGTAAGGGCCTTTCTGAGCACTTGTCTAGTATGGTAGATATTTCTGTTTTTACATGCCTACTTGGAATGTATGTAGGTTTCCTAATGAATATTCATCTGGCACAAAATAATCCTTTTGATACATTTCAAGTCACTGTAAATATTTATTTTCATTGCATAGTATGACACAGCTCTTGGTTAGAGAATCTTCCCTAGAAGAAATGCCACACCATAGATGGCTAGAGGAGATGGTGTATATTGTATGCTGTCAAGTCAATTCAGATGTATGGCAACCCTTTCTAGGGTTTTTGAGATAGAGAATATGCAGAAATGGTTTACCATTCCCTTCATTGGGGGTGTGTGTGTGTGTGTCTTGGGACTGCAGAGAATATGCAGAAATGGTTTATCATTCCCTTCATCGCGGGGGTGTGTGTGTGTGTGTCTTGGGACTGTGCAGCTTGTCTGTGACTACATATGCATAAACCACTGAGTTGTCCAGCCAGCTAGAATAGGTGATATATACCGTATTTTTTGCTCCATAAGATGCACTTCCCCCCCACAAAAAGTGGGAGGGGGG